TCGTCGTAGTAGTCGTAGTAGTCGTCGTAGTAGTCGTAGTAGTAGTAGTAGTAGTAGTAGTAGTAGTAGTAAGTAAGTAAGTAAGTAAGTACGTAAGTAAGTAAGTAAGTACGTAAGTAGGTAAGTAGGTAGGTAAGTAAGTAAGTAAGTAAGTAAGTAAGTAAGTAAGTAGTAGTAGTAGTAGTAGTAGTAGTAGTAGTAGTAGTAGTAGTAGTAGTAGTAGCAGTAGTAGTATCAGTAGTAGTCGTAGTAGTAGTAGTAGTAGCAATCATAAGAGGAGGAGGAGGAGGAAGGTACGAATGAGAGGAACACAGTTTGAGAGAAGCAGGGCGAGGATCAGGGAGGAGTGGGGAGGAGGGTGAGGGCCCCCTACGAGCACCGCACTGTTGCATTGCACTGTGCACTAATCGTTAAATCAGATTTACCAGCATCATGCACTGTATCGAACATGCCTACGTTGAGTCATCGCTGGGCCTGCCCTTCTGAAAACGCCAATGTGGCCTAACATTTTGTCAAAACTTGGCCAAGCTATCGGCTGGTGGGCTATGTGTCCCCCCAGTCGTTGAGGAAACGCCGCGGGGAAACTCGGGGGAGGACGAAGCAGGCAGGAGAGGCAAGAGGAGATGGGGAGGTCTCGAACGCCGTACTGCCTGAGGTAACAGGTAACAGGAGGAGGAGGAGGAGGAGGAGGAGGAGGAGGAGGAGGAGAGGGAATGCGGAGGTGGCCTCTTGGGAACCTCCAGCAGGCCTCTCGGGGGCCTCTTCGTTGCCTTTGGGGGCCATCTGGTGCCGTCTTCGAGGCATCTTGAGCCGTCTTGGGGCCATCTTGGCCGATTTGGAGGGACTCTAGGACCTTCTTGGATGCCATGTGGGCCCATGCTGGTCGTCTTAGAGGCCGTGTTGGTCATCTTGAAGGCGAGTTTTCAATATTTGAAAGTTGTTTGGGGTGCCAGCAGGTTGCGCATGAGAGTATTTCGAGTTTGTTGGAAAGGCCAAGGAAGGGCCGCATAATTATAACATATGGCACGCCAACAGCCATCCGTGCCTGGGTCGTGAACCAGAGACCTCATGGAGGCCTCTTCCTGGAAGCCTCTTGGGTACCGCTTGGAGAGTTGTTTCAGGCCTTTTCGGAGCTTCTTGAGAGGATGGTTGTGGCCCTTTGAGCGCATCTGGGGGCCTCTTGGGCGTTTCTTGGGGGTCGGCTGGCAGTCATGAGAGCCATCTTGGGGTGGGAGCCTTAAAGGCCTCTTCGGGCTCCCCCGCTTGGCGGCTTCGGGGGCCATCTTGGAGTGGTTTTGGGAGCCTCTTGGGCCATCTTGGTTGTTCTGAAGACCAGAAATGCGAGTTAGTGTAAATGAATCCATTGACTTTGCCCCAAATTGTGCTTGCCACTACTACCGAACTCTCACTGCGGTGATCCAGGGAATTGGATGGGTCTGTCGAGGTGTCGCTTGGTGCCCAGTTGGTGCCCCGCCGTGGGCGCCTCGTGGGCGCCCCGTTCGTTGGGCTGGTCCGTCGTGGCTTCGCCTGCTGACTGGTTGGCGCCCGGTCGTGGACGCCCCCTTCGCGCGCCCCATGCGCTCTGCTGGTCTGCCGGGATATCTCAGGGGCGGCAAAGAGGGGGGTGAGGACCAGGGGGGGGGGGGACATCATGGCGTGGGCCATGATAGTTCCCCAGATCTCATGGCGCCTCTTCTTATTCCATTACTTCCCTGGCCCCCCCGCTGGGCGGCGCACATGCCGCCGGTCATGATGTGCACCCCCCCCTCTTGGACACCCCCCTCTTGGACGCTCCCGACATGCGCTGGGCTGGTCTGTCGGGGTTTCTCCCCGGGGGCCTGGCCGGTGCCCGTGCCTGCAGGGGTGCAGCGCGGAGAGCGGGCATGGGGGGGGGCTCGGGAGCAGAGGGTTGCAGATTCCTCCTCCTCCTCCTCCTCCTCCTCCTCCTCCTCCTCCCCTCCTCCTCCTCCTCCTCCTCCTCCTCCTCCCCTCCTCCTCCTCCTCCTCCTCCTCCTCCCCCCCTCCTCCTCCTCCGCCCCTCCTCCTCCCCCCCTCCTCCTCCCTCCTCCTCCTCCTCCTGCTCCTCCTCCTCCTCTCCTCCTCCTCCTCCTCCTCCTCCTCCTCCTCCTCCTCCTCCTCCTCCTCCTCCTCTGACTCCTCCTCTGACTCCTACGGGCGACGCAAGAAAACGTCCGAGGCAGGAATTTACACATGAACACCGCCTGGAGTGTCAGTTTTCGGAGCCTCGGCAGGCGGTGGATATGGATACATTCGGGCCCCCGGGCCCGAAATTTATCCATATCCACCCCCCGCTGGGGCATCAGGACGTCGGCTCCCAGGCAGTTATAGATAAATCCCCGCCTCGCAAGATGGTCAGCAAGGGGGCAGCAGGGAAGAGGGTCTCCAAGGTGGTCGATGCTGGCATCAGCTGGCCGCCACTCCGGATTGGCTGGCCACGAGGTGGCCCAGGGTGGCCAGAGCAAGTCCAGATCGTTCCAGATCTGCCTGGACTTGGCTGGGCTAATCATGGCCTTCTGATGGACCAAGGTGGCCCCAAGTTGGCCCGTGTTCCCCCGGGGCCCTTCCTCCTGCGAAGTCGTCCTTCCTCTTCCTCCTCCTCCTCCTCCTCCTCCTCCCTCCTCGTCATCCCCGTCCTCCTCCCTCGTCCTCCTCCTCCCCACCGTCCTGCCTGGGATGCCCCCACCACCCTGTGAAGGGACATTATTTTTAGGTAATCGCGGGATGGCTCGATGCTGCCTGTGTCGGCGTACCTGAAGGGAGGTTCCAGAGCGGCCGCAGGAAGGGGGGGCGAGCATCTCAAGGAAGACCGTCTCGCACACGTTGTATTGTTTGGATGGACGGATGGATTTGTGAATGGAGGTACTGACTGATGTATGGACTGAGGTGCTGATGAATGGACAGAGGCGTGCGAATGCAACTGTGAAGCACCTCCCAGCCTTCTCATCCGCTACAGCCCGTTCGCATGGAGGAGACCGACGCGCTCAGCGAGAGCTCGGACTACAACTCCTGCTTCTTCGTGCCGCCGCCGCCCAAGAACGTGCGGAGGCCAGACCGGGAAGCCCGCGTGGGCAGCGGCGGAGTACCGTTCTTCCCCTTCTCGCGCCGGCGACTACACAGGGTGTGGACGCAAGGGTGTGGTTTGCGATGTGCGTCGTTGGGGCTTGTGGGGCACCACGCTGCCCTCGTCGGGGCGCGGCGGGGAACTCTGTCGAAGTCCTCGCCCGCACCCCAGGGTGCAGGGTACAGACCGCACCTTTTGCAAACCACACCCTCCCCCACGCGTCCAGAGACGCCTCGGGGCAGTGGGGGACTCCTGGGACCGTCTGGTGGAGTTGCGCGGCCATCTGGGGGCCACCCTGGGGGGAGCTCCTGAACCACCCCTGGCCGTGTCTCGGGCTCCCTCGGCTCCCCCGCCAACTCCTCCTCCTCCTCCTCCTCCTCCTCCTCCTCCTCCTCCTCCTCCTCCTCCTCCTCCTCCTCCTCCTCCCCCTCCCCCTCCTCCTCCTCCCCCTCCTCCCCCTCCCTTGGGTCTCCTGGAAGCTTCTTCACGACGTCCTGAACGACGAATGCACCGCGGGGGCCTCTGCGGGACGCCCTCCCCGCTCCTGCGTCTCGCCCTCCTCCCTCTCCACGGGGGGGGCTTCCCCATCGAAGGCAGAGCAGGGGGGCAGGGGGTCTTCGCCCTGCAGGCTTCCTGGCCGAGCTCGACTACACGTAAGAGTGACCCTTCGCCGGAGTGATCTTTTGTGCGGGCCCATTTGGGTCCCCGATCGCCCACCGCGACCTTCTGCGCGAGGCGGCAGTGGCGTCTTGCGCGCTTGTGTTTGGCCCCCCCCGCGGCCCCCCAAAAGCCGCGCACCACAGGTCACTCTTACCCAGGGTCACTCTTACGTGTAGCCGAGCCGAGCGGCCCCCGGGAGGATTTATCACAACCGCAAGAAGACGTCGTACACGGACTACGCGATCGAGATCGACACGGGGCCCAAGATGACCGTGCTCCGGCTGCTGGCGGAGGAGAGGGGAGCAGAGAGGCGAGGAAGGGCGAAGGGTTCGGCACCACCTCAGGAGGGGAAGAAACACCCAGACACAATGAATCTTCGATCCCCCAGGAAAATATCGGACAATATGGGAAGTGGGGGGAAGACAGAAACCCAGAAATTAGCCTGGCGAAAGACCCAACCATATGCAGTTGTGAGTACCGCAGTTGTGAATATCGTCTTCGGTGGAGCTCCTTATGGGGCCACGAACTGTGTGAGGGGCCTGCCACAGTGGTGGAGGTGGGGAGAACCGCATGCGGGCACCCCCACTGGGGCATTCGGTGGAGCTCCCTATGGGGCCACGAAGCGCTGCCATGGGTGGGGGAACCGCATGCGGGCACCCCCAGTGGGGCCTACGGTGGAGCTCCCTGTGGGGCCACGAAACGCTACCCTGGGTGGGAGAACCGAATGCGGGCACCCCCGCTGGGGCATGGGGGCCTGCGGTGGAGCTCCCTATGGGGGCCACGAAACGCTCCCCTGGGTGGGGGAACCGCATGCGGGCACCCCCCCTGGGGCCTGCGGTGGAGTTCCTTGTGGGGCCACGAAACGCTGCCCTGGGTGGGGGGACCGCATGCGGGCACCCCCACTGAGGCCTTTGGTGGAGCTCCCTGTGGGGCCACGAAACGCTGCCCTGGGTGGGGGGAACCGCATGCGGGCACCCCAATTGGGGCCTGCGGTGGAGCTCCCTATGGAGCCACGAAGCGCTGCCCTGGATGGGGGAACCTCATGCGGGCATCCCCCACTGGGGCCTGCGGTGGAGCTCCTTATGGGGCCGCGAAGCGCTGCCCTGGGTGGGGGAACCGCATGCGGGCAATCCTACTGGGGCCTACGGTGGAGCTCCCTATGGGGCCACGAAGCGCTGCCCTGGGTGGGGGAACTGCATGCGGGCACCCCCGCTGGGGCATGCGGTGGAGCTCCCTATGAGGCCACGAAGCGCTGCCCGGGGCCTGCGGTGGAGCTCCCTGTGGGGTCACGAAACGCTGCCCTGGGTGGAGGGACCGCATGCGGGCACCCTCATTGGGGCCTGCGGTGGAGCTCCCTGTGGGGCGACGAAACGCTGCCCTGGGTGGGGGAACCGCATGCGCCCCCCCCCCCCTTCACTGGGGCCTTCGGTTGAGTTCCTTGTGGGGTCACGAAACGCTGCCCTGGGTGGGAGAAACAAATGCGGGCACCCCCATTGGGGCCTGCGGTGGAGCTCCCTGTGGGGCGACGAAACGCTGCACTGGGCGGGGCGGGCGCTCCCACTGGGGCCTACGGTGAGGCTCGCTGTGGGGCCACGAAACGCTGCTTTGGGTGGGGGAACCGCATGCGGGCACCTCCACTGGGGCTTGCGGTGGAGCTCCCTGTCGGGCTACGAAACGCTGCCTTGGGTGGGGGAACCGCATGCTGGCACCCCCACTGGGGCCTGCGGTGGAGCTCCTTCTGGGGCCACGAAGCGCTGCCCTGGGCGCGGGAACCGCGTGCGGGCCCCCCCGCTGGGGCCTTCGGCGGGGCCCCCTGTGGGACCACGAAACGCTGCGCTGGGTGGGGGAGCCGCATGCGGGCACCCCCACTGGGGCCTTCGGCGGAGCCCCCCATATGGGGCCACGAAGCGCTGCCCTGGGTGGGGGAACTGCATGCGGGCACCCCCACTGGGGCTTTCGGTGGAGCTCCCTATGGGGTTACGAAGCGCTGCCCTTGGTGGTGGTGGTGGTGGTGGTGGTGGTGGTGGTGGTGGTGGTGGTGGTGGTGGCGGTGGTGGTGGTGGTGGTGGCGGTGGCGGTGGTGGTGGTGCGGGGGAAGGGGGGGGGGGGGGGGGCGGTGCGCATTCGGGCACCCCCGCTGGGGCCTTCGGTGGAGCTCCTCGTGGGGCCACGAAGCGCTGCGCTGGGCGGGGGAACCGCATGCGCCCCCCTCCCACTGGGGCCTTCGGTGGAGCTCCCTACTGAGGTGCATCCTGGGTTTGTTAAGGCTTATGAGGTTTAGCTAAGGTTTAGTGCACTTGTCAAGGTTACCATACGTCTATCAACAACTGATTTATAAACTTTATAAGCGTTTAGCCGTCGCGATGTGCAAACTATGAAACCACTATTTTCTCCTATGTATCCCTCCTTCCTCAGCGCGACGTAGGTTGCACAACATGGGTTGCACCGCGCCACATAGGATGCGCCATAGGTTGCACCAAATAGGATGCGCCACGTAGGTTGCACCGCACAGGTTGCACCACACAGGCTTCCCCACATAGGTTGCACCACACAGGTTGCACCACGCAGGTTTCCCCGAGTCGGTTGCGCCACGACGACGCACCACATAGTTTGCACCACATAGGTTGCACCACAGCATGTAGCACAACATTGGTTGCACCACTTGATATGAGTTGAACTTCAGTTTTCGACGCCTTCGGCGCGGCGCCGCCGCCCATGCCGCCTTCGGCCCGGGTTTCGGCACGCCGCCTTAATCGCTTTCGACGCGAGGAGGGAGGGGGTGAGGGGGGAGGGATGATCAGGAGGAGGAGCAGGAGGAGGGGCAGGAGGAGGGGGAGGAGCAGCAGGAGCAGGACAAGCAGGAGGAAAAGCAGGAGGGGGAGGAGGAGAAGCGGAGCAGGAATACTTTCCCTCTTAATTTCTCATCCTCCTCCTGTTCGTTGCATTCAGCCGCAATGGCTGGAACGCGCGCGTTCGCATTGGCATCGCTTCTTGATGGGCTGCGCGGCGGCGCGCGCAGCGTATACGAATGGTTTCTCCTCTGAGCGCAACGCGCCAGCACATCCTATCATGAAAACTCTAATGGCAGGATGGCGTCGACGGTGCCGTCGGCGCATACGCAGTGCTCTACTGCAGCCAGGTTGGCTTTAGTCTCCCAACATTGCACTGGGGACTCTGGCAGTTTCCACGCTGCCTTTGCAGTGCCACGGATGCGTTGAGAAAGCTCCATGACCTCCATCATAGAAGCAGCTTCCCAACTGACCTCGAAATGCAATTTCACGCGGGCGGCCAGTGTGCTATCGGGGCCATTCAGAAGCACAACGTCCCCTTGAGTGCATAAGCCGGGCAAGCTGAAGCGAGAATCTTTGCCCACGTTGACAGGGGCATCATCGCCTTCCAATCCCAGTGCGCCCATTATCAGCTGCCTGCTTTTCTCGGGGGCCTTGCGCCCCTGCACCGAGCCAACATCGCAATCAAAACTATGGCTTGTTATTCCAGAAAGGCCGCGGGCAACGCGCTCGCTCAGCAACGACTTGCTGGCTGACCCAGAGATGTTCGCCAATTCGGCGGCGCATCGCTTCGACGTCATATGTTTTTCTCTGAAGGACGAAGCAATTTGAGAGCCGCCCGTTCTTCTCAAGTACCTCAGGGGGTGGAGAAGCCAGTGGCATTTGGGTGTCAAACACTCATGCCCGAAAGCAGCAGTGAACGATTCTGAGGACTTATGAAGACAACCTAAAAGCCTCGCTGGACGCACGTCGATCCGACTGGTTGCAACTACCAGCTCCGAAAACTGAACGCAAGCAATCATTGCGTCGCAAGCTGCATTGGCTGCCCCCATGGGTCGCAGGACCGCCTGACTGAACGGCATCAGCACGCCAGGGATAGACAATAAATCAGACGCCCGGCATTTTACGCGTTGCGCCTTTCTGTGTTTGTCTTTCCGATCAGCATTAAAAATGCGATCTACATGCGCGGCGCGGAATCGCCCAGGGAAAGCCCAATTTGCCAAGAACTCCGAGAATGACTCCCACACGCCGTTGAGCCCAGCAGATGCGAGGGCTTCGAACGTAAGGTGGGCCACCAGATTCACGACGCCGTCGACGAAGAGCGCGTGCGTCCAGTCATGCATGAACACCTCTGTCGGGTTGATCAGCCTGTCCAAGGCTCTATCGAGCAGCAAGCCCCGCTCAGCAAACGTCAGGCCCACCGCTTGCTGCAACAGCGCAAACTCATCATTGGGCAACGTCCGCGACATGCGTTCCAGATGCCTGGCATTCGCGCGAAGCCCACGGTCCGTGGACGCCACGAGCTCATCGAGATG